ATCACAACTTCGTAGTCGTAGATAATTTCGTCTATCTTTGAACCAGTATTAAGACCAACAACAATTTCAGCCTTGAAATCCAACGCAGACAGGTGTTACTTCGGACTGAGTACACAATTGAGAAGTAAAGTCCTCTCTCGAAGAACAAAAACCAAACTCCATAAGTCAATTATTACTTTCGTCCTGATATATGGTGCAGAGGCATGTACGATGACAATATCTGCTGAGTCGGGCTTAGGATCTTTGCGCATTGGCCACAGCGAATATCGTATACATACATATAAGCCTCATGGCTTGTTAAAGGTTTATTTAATGTCTAATATGTGTATGTATGAACTCATATCAGAATCAATTTCTTATAATCGCGATATAAGCCGACACATTTACTTCAGAAATCGGGATGAAGCCATAACAATATATGTTTCCGCAAAATCCAACGATAAMAATGATTTTCAAATTAGTGTATTAAAAAGGCGGAGAAAATTAAAATAAAATTTAAAAAAATTAATAATCAATTTTATTRCATATTCATGCAGCCAAAATTCGCTACTGTTATTACTTTACAGCAGCCGAGCCATTCGAATTAGATTACCAAATGCATTAAATATGATTATCTTACACACACACACGACATACTGCTAGCCGAAAAACAAAATTGGCAGAAAACCTATTTCTGAGCGACCAAAGCGAAAGGAAATGAGGCAAACTATAGTAATTGTTAATAGAGCAGAGGAGCGTTTAARCTGGAGTTTGCTAAGGAATGACRACATGCACACAAAATGCTGCCAAGTCGTCGATAGCAGGCGCTGTGGGTGAGCGCGCAGACGAGCCAAGTCGCGGGAGTTAGTTGTTTTGCACAGCTGCCGTCACCGCCGATACATTGACATCAGCGCCGCGGTTGCGCAAASGCACAGCATCAGCATCAGCGACRTAAAAAATGGCGTACAACATCGCGAACAGCAATAGCAATGAGATTGTGTATCACAACACATCACTGGCTACCCGAAGCCGCTTGCAATTGTTGGCGGCGCATTGAGCCCTTTTTGCTGGTGGCTGTTGCACTACACACGGCGCAGGCAGCAACTGTCGACGCCAACAAACAAACGTTTGTTTACTGCTGATGCGTCTGTTTTTGTCGACGTTGCTGCTAGACTCACACACACACACACACACACATACATACAGACCTGGCGCACATGAGCCAGCATTATTGGCCGCGTTGTCGGTGGTGCATTAAATTAGTTTCGTGAGTATTTAAAGCAGGCCAAAAAAGCGCCGCGTAACCCAAGCAAAAAGCTGAAATCAAATTTACTATGGAACATCGAAAAACAGGCGAATCGAAGGCATTGTGGGACGCAGTGGGTGTTGCATTGTGCTGGATCGGGCGTCTTTGCAACGCATGCGCACAATGTTGTTAATATTGTTACGCTGCTTTTCGGTGTATTTTGTTTTTGGTCGTGGCTCGTCTCATGTTGGACAGTTTGTTTGTTTGCATTTCGTTACGGTTCGCACTCGGCTTGTCTTTCATTTTGGCGTGTCAAACGGCAGAAGTAGATAAATAAAAGCAATTGTGTTAATTTGTGTGGAGCTCATTAAATGGTATTTTGCTGGAATCTCCACTTACAAAACATGAAAATGTTTTGWCTTTTCTTTGTCTGCTTCATACTCGTTARGACCGGAGCGCACAGCTATGAACTCCATTGTTTTCGTACAGACTGCAACAGAAATTATGCAAATATCCCGAAAGCGAAAAGAATATGGCAAGTCTTCAAATATTWGCTTCAGAAATTTCCAAAAATTACGTTATAGCCTGTGTTTTTCAGCCATTTGTGGCAACCATAAATTACCAACTCAAGCGCTTGCTGCTAAATATATAATTTGAATCAATTTGCCAACGAGCTCATAATGCATTATTTATCTGCAGTTTGAAGGAAAGGTTCAAGAAGCTCTGAATTCACAGTCCACCCTCGATAGACAAATCAGCGGGTAGGTGAGTGGTTCTTCTCTAATTAAGCAGCTGAATATAGAGYAGTTGAAGCTATTTGTGCTGATGCTGAAACCTGATTTGGGTAAAATATTGGCAATTGCTGACTGAGTCTCACACACTGCAATTACCTGAAGTATTCCATTTCTAAGCTGCAGTTGTAAGAAATCGCTTCTAAAGTGGTAACTTTTTGGACACTAACGGTTTGCAGAAGCAATAAAATGCATATCATTTAATGCTCCTTCTTCTTTATTGGCGTAGGCACCGCTTACGCGGTTATAGCCGAGTTTACAACAGCATGCCAGTCGTTCATCTCTTCTCACAGTTTTAGCGAATCGGAGATTCCAAGTGCAGCCCAATTCTTTTCCACCTAGTCTCTCCAACGGAGTGGAAATCTCCCTCTTCAACTACTTCCACCGTCGGTTACTGCGTCGAACAATTTCAGAACCGAAGTGTTTGCATYCATTTCTATGASATGATCTAGCCAGCGTAGRTGCTGTCTTTTAATTAKCTGGACTWTGTCAATGCCGTCGTATAACTATACAGCTCATCGTTCCRTCGAATGCGATATTCGCCGTCGACAATGCGCAACGGACCTTCCTTCTTCCGCAGAACCTTTCTATCGAAAACTCGTAACGTCGACTTATCAGATGTTGTCATCGTCCATGCCTCTGTACCATTTAGCAGAATTAGCACCTGTTGGTAAGAGTAATTCTACGGTGGATTTTAAGACCGACGGCATTAAAGGAGCTCCTTTTCTTGCTGTCAAAAGCAGTTTTAAAATCGACGAAGAGGTGGTTAGTGYCATCCCCTTTCACGGGTCTTTTTCAAGATATAACGCTTGATGAATATATGGTCAGTCGCTTGATATAATCTTATATGCGATGATTCCAAGGTAGTTAGCGTAGATTTTGGAGTTTTCCTTTTTATGGTTTGGACAGACCACAATTAAATTTTTATCGTCAGGCATGCGCTCATCCGAGGCTGTTTTATTATTTTCATTGGGGGTACTTTTTAACCTACACACAGTCCTGGTAAGGAATGTTTCGACTTCTGACTTTAGCTCGCCTTCAAACGGATGTTTTGTAGCTACCCAGAGGATAATTGGTCTAAAACAGGATGTCCTGCGAAGCTTTCACCATATGCAAAATAATGGTTTCTAGCAACTCCCAGGTGAATGGCGCTCCGCGAACCTTCCTCACTCGCGTGGACTTCTACACATAGCTCCCTCCGCCACAGGGACTGTTACATAGGACATTATTGGATCGTTTGAAAGACGAAATCGCCGAAAAACGCCTACAAATTATTTCGAACAAGTGTCCGCAGCAGCTGGCTAGTATAAATTCCAGCAAATAGCCGCAATTTTCGACTACTTTTTGCAAGCAAATGGGCAATAACGCACCGAGTAACCTCTTCTAAAATATGAATCATCTCGGACCTATGTGCGTAAGCAAGCTACCTCCAAAAAAATAATCGAGCAGTGTTAAATCGCACGATCTTGGTGGCCACGCCACAGACCCACAACGCGAGATAATGCGCTCAAAAAAAGTTTCCTTCAATAAATTGTTTGTTTTTTTGGCTGTATGAGTTATACTGGCTTGAATGTTGAAATCAAATTGTTGTCTACATCAACATCCACTAATTCAGGTCTGAAAAGATTTAGTCTCTATAGCGTTCTCCATTTTCTATAAAATTATGGCCACCTTTGAAGAAATATGTGACCAATGATTCCTTCCGCTTAGACTGTAGACCAAACCGTGACTTTTYAAAGATGTAACGGCGTCTCAACAATTACTGGTGAATTATGGCCACTCCACATAACTAAAAGTGAACTCAAGCGGGAGCCKRATGAACTCATTCGGGTCTTCTTCGATACTCGGCATCTTCACTAAAATAGAGTAAAGTAAGAGCGCGATGCTCCGCCCGCACCGAGACATTATTTTGGCATTAAATCTGCACGATTTGTAAACGCCGTTCGGGAGTAAGTATGTTCATTATAAAAGGCAGTGCAAGCTGCGTGTAAGTTATAAAGGCCAAGACTATAGTTTTCACCATATAGTTTTTTATTAAGATTCATCTGAATGCTTAAAAAATAATATTATATAAAAGATGTTCCCAACTTCTTGCTTACGATATTAGTTGACCAGCCGTATAAAGTCGCAAATAAGTAGCTCTCGTTCGGTTCACTTTACTGATTTGCTTACTCGTGCGAGGATATAAATGTAGATAMAAACATTTCAAAAGTATATAAGTATACTTGTAAGTACTTTAAACTAAACATTGGATAACCATTGCTGAAAAAAAAATACAAAATAATGTCAGCAACACGATCAAGCAAATTTTCATCACCTTAAAGAAAAATCTGAAAGACACTTCAGAGCAAAGTGCATGAGAGTATTGCCACACTGGTTCGCCATGTCACGAACTGTTGCGCTAAAAGGCATATATGAAAGTAACACATTTTCCAAAAGACACAAGAGAAATTAAAAGTTTTTCTGTTTCTATTTTCAACTTCAGACTTGGCACACTACGGAGTCAGCTCTATGCCTTCAATCGACGAAGTCAGCTACTTTATGCTCAAAGCGGCCTATGCCCGAGCAACAAAGTTGGCTTGGTCGCAAGGGGGCGTGTAGGGTCAATATTATTAACAACTTTGTTGCAGTATGCGTGACTGCATTGCGTCAACTTAATTGTAATGTAGAATATGATTGTAAAAAGTTTTTCTCTGATCGTTATTGCTAGACAAATACCAATTATAATAATAGCCATATAGTTTACAAAAAKAGTTGCGGAATTGTGCTAAATTCAATACAATGTATTGGTGTCACCAACTTTTCTTCAATCAACACACAACTTTTTAAACTATTATGCAACAGTAGCTCGTCAAAAAAACTGGGAAAATATATGCCTTTTTTTAGAAGTTTTGCAATTTTTATTTTTCTAACAGCAATTTGAAACAATTTATATTCCATATTATATTTCGCATTCTCATTGCGAAATTCCATATGGCAAGTGAATTAGTATAAATTTGTAAGAAATAAATTCAASGCATGAAAGCATGCAGAAACGCTTGATGATTTAAAAAATATCAAAATAAGAAAAACCTAAGATTTGGGCWCATCCATGTTGCTTATATCAGTTTGGTTACCAATTTTATAAAACAGTTTTCATAGCTTAGTTGACCGATCCTTTGAAAACGTTCTTGAAAGGAGRCYGATTGCTTTCAGTTGCGTGTTAGTTCAGCGGAAGCTGCTTGCTGCTGAAATTCGTTGAGTATACGGCTCTGCGGAATGTCCGTCTCAACGCGACTGCCCACAACATCTGTGGCGGATACTGGCTGCTGCTCCTGATCGAAAAATATATCGATTATAATGCGGACACCTGCAAGAAAATGGTGAGAGAAAATTATAATGACGAATTATGATTATCATTTCTAACCCCCTCGAAGCCATAATAGATTAGTGAAAGGGCTACAAACAAAAYTTTGCATATTAAGCCATTATACTGTTATCTGCTCTCAAATTTTCTTTCACAATTAGTTTAGAAACGTTAGCTGCCCTCCTCTATCTAGCCTCCTATGTTGCGTTTTTATTTTTTGTTCTACAAAAAGTCTAAGTAGCCGTCCGCGTGAGGGATAAGTACCGAAGAAGTGGAACCTCGAATGGTATGTGCTCTACGGCAGCATGGATATCTTAGTTAAGCCTATGAAAATTCAACGAACACACTCTTTAGACTATGTTTCACGGCTAGCAGACGTTGCTCCAGGAAAAAACTCATTTAAATCGCACTTTTGTGTGCTCGGTCCAAAAGGAGAAGAGTTTTTATATATGTATATACTATACTATATATTGTGTATTTTCAGGACATACCACACTTTCAGGACTTTCTAATCATTATCGTTATCAGATTCGTGTAGGAGACTATTCACAGCAAAATCGTTATAACCTGCAATGCCAAAGAGTTCACAAGAAATAACGCCCCTTACATCGGATTGGAAACGAGTTAGGACTCCGTTTTCCTCTAGCGTTTAAGTGCTGCACATCTGGACTTAGCGACTACTGTCTAGCTATTGTGCGCCTACAATATCCTTCTAGCCCAATGTAGAACGCAAGATGGTTGGTTGGTTGAAAAGAAAGGCGCATACACCGCACTTGGGCCAACGTAAGGCCCATTATATTCCTAGAGGTAACAAATTTAAACCTTAGCCTGCAACTATGTAGATTTGATAAAAGACCTGCTACTTTTCCACCCAAACTGTCGAATGTCTCTTAAGTTAGAGTATTGAGAGCAGTGGAGTGTGTCCCTTCTCATCTGACTAAAGACATAGATAATGTTCCAGCATCTGCCCTGCATTTCACCGAATCCATTAGTTCTATTTTCAGAAGCTAAAATCTTTTACCTATAAATAGGAGCTTTCGACTATCAACACTACCCCAAAATAACTTTAATATGCTGAAAGATACTTTCAAAGGTTTTTCATTGGATTGCGTTTTAATTACGATCTCAACACAGTACGGTTTCTCACACGCCAACCGTGGGCACGAATAGGAACGAACTATGTTTGAACAACTAGGATCTACTCACCTCCGGCAGTCTTTGCAATTGTCGTTTTACTCTGATAAGAAGTCTCCATTGGCTGAAAATTCGCYTCCTCGATGCTTCCAGTTACACCGGCCCTATCGTTGCCGTCTGGCATATTCTCCTCTAAACTGCTGGCAGCATCATTAGCATCGCGAGGCGGCGACCTTTTTCATTGGATATTCATGACAATATAACTATTTCAAATTTGCTCAATACCCTGCCACTAACCTTGAGGTGCGCCTGGTGTGATCGGCAACATAGATATTTTCACTATCGCTCAAAGAGACGTGACGTTCTCGCACGAAGCAAGAGTCATCCATTGCATCCGTTTGCTGCTTCGTTGTGCAGCTATTATTGTTTGGCTTGCAACTGTGTTTCACTTTGGCGCTGTGATTGTGGTCAATACCGCGATTGGTTTGCGTCGATTTACTGCCCTTATCCTCCTCTTTCTTCTGTGTCACATAATGACGCGAGGGATAACGATGCGAAAGCGTATGGGTGCCAAAATTGTTCACACCAAAATATGCGGACTTCATTGCAGGCAAGCTGTATTGCTGCTGCTGCAGACTGCGTCCACCACCTTTGGTGCCCAACTTGGCCACTGTGTCATATCGTTTAATCATGTCACGCACGCTGACCGGAGAATGCGATTCCGAGTCGGAGGCAGCTGTTAGCAGCACATTAAAGGAGCTCATGGAATTGTTGCTCACATTATCGTCATCGTCGACGCTGGCCGAACGCCTCTGCGGCAACCGACACGTCTGCGAATTTCGCTTCGAGTCGCTAGTGAGATCCATGTTTTGCGTGTCACTCGTCACAAATGTGCAGATTGAAAAACGAATAGAATGAAAATACTAAATATTTTTCTACTAAATTAATGCTAATTTTTTTTTATACTAAATTTTCTAATTTTCAATAAAAATCGCTACGACAATCTATGTAAGTTAAAATTGTTTATTTTGTTTTTTGTTTTCTTAAATGTCAGTTGTACAAAACGGTGTTGTTTCTTTAATATTATAGTTTTTGAATATCGTCAACTTTTTTACTCTATACTTTGAGTTATATTTGCATGATATTGTTCTTAATGAGTGAAATGTAAATGTTTTCAAATACAATATGTATATACATTTTGTTGCATAATCCACCACAGCTCAAAATATAGGTATATAATAAATATATACTATATAATAGCTAAAATATCGCAGATAGMATTATCCAGATATTAACAGGGAGACCCAAAAACCCTTCCGGATTCAATGATCGTTTTTCTATATTAGCGAGGTCAACAACCTTCATGTCAATGATCCTTTCTAAAGTCAGTAACCCCTTTGTTTACCTTTAGGGAGGTCAATAACTTTTCTTGACACTTTATTTACCTTTAATTATGTCTAGAAGGCTTAGTGGTGAGCTTTGCTGAGTTTACTTTTTACTCTTTTGTTTACCTTTAACGAGATCGGCAATGGTTTCAGAGGGCCAATAAACTTTTCTGAGGACAATGATCTTTTTTGTTTACCTTTAGCGAGGTCAACAACCCACTTTTTTTCTTAATATTTAACTGGGTCAACAACCTTTTTAGAGGTCAATGTAATTTGCTGAGTTTATTTACTCTTTTGTTCACTTTAGCGAGGTCCGCAAGGCTTTCAGAGGGTCAATAAACTTCTCTGAGGACAATAATATTTTTCGATTACCTTTAGCTAGGTCAGCAACCCTTCGATTTTGTTTGGCTTAAGCTAGGTTAACAACCCTTTAGAAGGTCAATGTACTTTGCTGAGCTTATTTACTCTGTTTTTCACCCTTATCAATGCTTTTAGAAGGTCAAGAAAGCTTTCTGAGCACAATGATATTTTTTGTTTATTATTAGCTAAGTCAAACTTCTAGGTTCTTTTAACCCTTTTGTTTACATTCAGCAAGCACAGCAGCCTTTCTTGAGGTCTTTGAAGCCTTTATTTGCCATTAGCGAAGACAACCACCTTTACAGAGGTCAATTACTATTTTGTTTACCTTTGCGAAGACAACAACACTTAGTGAGTGAGTGTTGAGCACTTCGTCATTGACGTTGTAAAGTTTATGGTCTCTTTGTCATTCAGCTCGATAATATTTTTTCAGATGCTTTCGAAGAAAATCAGGTACTAGAATTGAGTACTAAAAAATACTATCAAGTAAAAAGTTACAAGAAGGTTTTAATTTGTTTGAAAACAGAAGCAAGAAACTCTTTTAAAACGCTGTTAAGAGAAATGAGATAAAAATATGTTGTTTCAACATTTTAATGCAATAATCGAATGAGAGAGCAATTTACTTTTTTCACATTCTTCCTGATTGAGAAAGACATAGCTGAGGACATAATCTCAGCTCTAAATATATAAAGGGCTTATAAACATAAAGCCAAATCCGAAACAGACAAAATCATCTCGAAAGTATAAGTAAACAAGACAAGCAAGAGGATCTCAGGATGAGCTTAGTAACGAGGTTGGCTGCTCTAACTGTACGAGTATGTTCTAAGCCAAAAATTTGTATCTTCAAACATCTGCATCTGACCTTGACATTAAAAAGCAAATTTAAATTTAAGTATCAATATCTCAAGCCAAAGGCGCACATTACAGCCCAACCGTAAACACCGCAACACACACACTCTCAAGTAAGTGCTTAACAAGCGATACGAGTGTGCATTGCAAATTCAAATTAAATCTGTTTTTCAATTTGCTATCAATATATGTATGTGTGTTGGTTTACTACATAATACATATGTAGCCTCTAAATACTCGTAGGCCACAGTCTTGTCGATCGAAGGTGATGCTTTGGCCCGTAGAGCACCCAAATGAGTTTCTAAATATGAGTACGCGCATATAAGTACCATGCCGTTGAAACAGCAAACCACCAAAATCAAATTAATAACAATAATGCCAGAGAAATAACAACAACATTTTTTACCACACATTATGTTGCGTGCAACTGAAACCGCGGCTCGTCAATGATGATGCGGGATGACTTGCAGTTTATGTGATTTTATAGAAAAATACAAGAACTCGCTCGCGYATTGCTTTGATCAGATCAGATGATGTACAGTCAGTAAAGGCTAAACGCAATAAACTTATGGACCATGCCCACATACCAGATCAATTCTTAGAATTACTAATAACTATTCTATCAAATTACTTCTGGAATGAGTTTATAGCTGAATATGGTTTTTGTATGCGTTYGTTTCACCTCGAAATAGTCAGCTATTAGCAATTGCAGCAACACCATCGCTTATKTTCCCAGCGMGTTAATCGTCAGCCATACAAGTTGCCGCGTTCGTTTCGGTCGCCCTGGCTATGCGAAGTACTAAAGCTGCACGGCTGTTATGCATGGTGTCTTGTGTCACTGCAGTGTGATGGCGCAATTTTCGGAAGACAGCMACTTTGGCCTGTAGCTTGTTAGCTTACGTGAACAATCACACCCCGATATTGTTACCACCGTTTGGTTTTGTTGTTATGTAGCTCTTAAATGCATTATCAACGAATTACAATTATAATTACATTTCACAAACTCCCAAATACTTAATTGACATTCAGTGTGAGTGTTTCCATTTAAGCTTGACATTCAATGTGCGCGCAGAGTCCGATGTCTGATATCAACCAACTCTAGGTGTTAAGTCCATCGCTCAGTATCTACAGATCTGTTTGTATTTAGAGAATGCATGACATAAGCAAAGAGAGCGAAGAATGTGGAAATTGTGCTCGCATTAGTCTAGTCGAAAGCTTTAAAGTGACCTTTAACTGCTGCTGTGCTACCAAGGTTTAAGTATGAAATTCTCCTCCCAACGGAAAAACTCAGGCTACTTGTTGCYTTCTACACTGGCTATTGAATACTGGGTTCTTTGGAAAGTAATAGGACTGCGTCGATTTAAAAAACTTATTGAATTTTCCATCTGCGTAATTGCAGCGCTGGCAGCATTAAAGGCGTCACGGTAGGCATTCTCCAGAAAAGCYTCGAGAGCCGTGGTGCATGCTGCTTGGATAGCGTACCTCTGTTCAAACGAACTCTGCATTTTCGGCTTGCACCATTCATTGAAACACGTCAAACGAAAAAGTTTGTCCACACTCTCCAGATGCTCGGATACAACTGACCAGACACTTGTTCGTTAGCCAGGGACGCCTTCTACCGAATCCAGTCGTTGTCCTATTAGTTTCCGCACAAATCCTGTATAACATGGTCCTCGCTTCTTGTGCGAATTGCCAGTTTTGTGTCTTGGAGCCTGAAACTCCAAAACACCTTCTAATTGCCTACACAGCAATCTGTAGGTGAGGGGAACTCGTAGAATATTTGGAAGTCCTTCGAACAGCCATTTCAAGATGTTTAAAAATAGGTACCTTCAAAATTATTTCAATTTTGTGTCATATCTACTGAAGCCAAGAAACGTTGAAAGATTGAAAGACGATTTTCGATGTCAGAAATGCTGCCTGAGCGCTAAAAAAGAAGTCGTTTTTGTATCGGTTTGTTACTAGTGATGGAAAATGGATCCATTAAAACAACTCTGMATGCAAAAAGTCATATGGGAAAGCCGAATTTCTGGGTATTCTCTGTGTATTTGGTGGGATCAGTAGGGCATGCTGTATTATGAGCCCCTCTTAACAGGATGAAGCCATTAAAGGGGAGCTCTACCGACAACGACGCATCAAATTGAAGCGAGCAATGGCTTAAAAACGCTCATTATTCGCGACTAGATACAAGGCAATCATTTTCCAACATCACAGCACTCGAGAATCATGTTTCAAGTCCGGTTTCAATATATTTGAAAACCAGCAGCTGGGAAGTTTTGTTTCACCAGTTTTAGAGTCCGTACCTTGCCCCTTTTGACTAGCATTTGTTCTGGTCGACGCAGAACGCACTAACTGAAATACGGTTCATTTCAAATTAAGATAAAACAGGCTTGATTCATTCTTGGCCACCAAGCCAAACGTATGTAGTGCTTTTGAGATGGAATAAATGAATTGCCAGTAAAATGGAAAAATGTTTTAGTTTCAGTTAGGCAATACTAGAATAATACTATTGCATTATATATATTTGTTTCTCATAAGTAAACTTTTAAATTTTGAAAATGAAAATTTTGCTATTTAAATTTCTGAAATGTGGATGTTAGGTTCTCTARCTTATTCTGTTTTAGTACCACTTCTAATTTTTTTTCGATGCACCAACAATGCGCTGCTATAACCAAATGACTTTGATCATGAAAATAATGGTCACAGCACACGATCACACCACAAGTGTTATGCGTTTTATTGTGGATATTGCAATTTGGGGTCACTTGCATTTAAGGCGGCAAGTTGCTGTCATTAAATCCATCAACAAATGCATAGAGCAGACACACAAAGTCTTTGAATACATATGTACATAAACTCATAGGTGCTTATGGATTTCTTATMGATAAACTGTGTGCAGATGTTATGTAAAAACAAGTACCATATGTGACTGTGAACAATTGAGGAGGCTTGAAGATGCGAAACTAATCAAAGCRYTCRCAGACACTCGATCSAGCAGATATTTGTTAAGCTKAGCGCAACAGTGTTCGCTCGTTCACATTGGAAAGACAAAGACGGAAGGYAAACCGCATTGCAATTGAATGGGGACGTGCCATCACTGCCGCCTGGGGAGCAGCAGCAGCAATAGCAACAGCAACAAGCGGAGCAGCAGCGCCGGCGGCAATGCYAGCGACAACCAAACACCCATTGCTAYATTGTGWMAGCGTTCTTTGTATTGATGCTACGTGCTTAGGTGCGCCAATGCAGCGGTGGAACGTCGCAAACGCTGAACCGCAGACGGYATCGCAATGAAGGTCGATTTTCATGTGACTTGTYGCTGCATCGGTGTGCCGCTCTTGATGTTTTCGTGCAATATTACATATGTACAAATGTATTACAAATTCTGTGTG